TTCTACCTGTTGTTCCCTCTTAGATACTAGCTCCTCCATTGCCAACTGCACCTTTCCTAATGGCACTGGTAACCCCTTCCATGCACTCCTGGCCCTTAGTACTATATGGGGTAACTTAAACTCCACCCTGAGCACCCACTGGGCAGCACCCAATGGCTTATTCTGGGTCTGTGGCAAACGAGCATACTCCCATCTCCCCTCCAACTGGACCGGTAGCTGCACACTCAGTATAATCCAGCCTGGTTTCTTCCTCCTTCCTAGCCAAAGTGGCCAAGAGCTAGGTGTCCCCTTATACCAGGATTTACATATAAAGCCCAAAAGGACCCTCGATATGGGGGGGCATCAAACCTGGGGGGAAGATGAATGGTCTCCCCAGCGGATCATCCAATATTATAGCCCAGCTACTTGGGCTCAAGTTGGGAGTTGGGGATACCGTACCCCCATTTACATGCTCAACCGTATTATCAGATTACAGGCTGTTCTAGAAATAATTACCAATAAAATTGCAACAGCTTTAGAGCTCCTCACTGCCCAACAGACCCAGATGCAGGCCACTATTTATCAAAACCACCTAGCACTGGACTACTTACTAGCTGAAGAAGATGGCATCTGTGGCAAATTTAATCAGTCGGGCTGTTGTCTACAGATTGATGACACTGGCAAAGCTGTCTGCGCTATCGCCACGAATATTAGAAAGCTTGCCCATGTCCCAGTTCAAAAATGGTCAGGATGCGACCCTGAGAGCCTATTTGGAGGATGGTTCTCCACCCTTGGGGGATTTAAAACATTAATTGGAATTGTCCTCCCGCTCCTTGGAGCTGCCTCCTTTTACCCTGTGTTCTCCCCCTTGTCATTCGCTCTACCTCTTCCCTCATAGAGGCCATTGTAGAACATAAGACTACCGCTATGGTCCTCATGTTATGAAAGTACTAACCCTGAGGCCAGCAGCCTGTCAAAGGAGATGATGCTCTCTAACCCACTTACAGGTTCGAGCATCAAAGAGAGGAATGTGGCAGTGGGCCCTAGACAAAGGCCTTCTCAGACCATGTGGTCACTAAGGATTCTGCGCTGTAGCAGGGAGCTTCAGACAAAGACATTCCTAGACTGCATGGCCATTAAGACTTCCACGTTTAATATTTCCATATTCCTACCTCACCCGGGAGCCAGTCAGGAACTGGCACAATAGCCACATGTCCTAATAATAAATCTTAGCTGCCAACCTGGAAACCTCAGGGTATATAGCCCCGAGTCCCACCCGGGCCAGGGCTCAGCCTCTGGATGTAAATTCGCTGAGCCTGTGCTGGCATCAATAAACATTGCTTCCCGAGCCTGGGTGCCCTGTCTCTCTGCCTGAGTTTCCCGCAACACTATCCTGTACCCTCCAATTAAAAGAAGTATCTGTCTCACCAATTTACTTTTTATCCAATCCCGGAGAGTCCTCCCCACTTTTGCTTTCTCCCACCCCCTTGATCTACCACCAGTGGATTTCATGTAACCCTCCTTCTTTCATTCTAATGTATAAAATAAGTTGCAAAACTGCCATTTCCCAGTTTGGGCAGTCTGTTGAGATTTTGCTTCCGGGCAATTGTCATCAGTTTGGCTCAAATAATAAGCTTTCTCATAGGCTAGATTTTTTTTTTTTTGTCGACAAGTTTTTGTTTTTGTTTTTTTTGAAAGATTTTATTGGGGAATTGGGGGAGGAAACAGCGTTGGGGAATCGGGGAAGGAGAACGGACAAGTTGCTGTCCTTTTGTTCTTCAGTCTAGTTGTGGAGGTTGTCGTTTCACTGGCCCATGTTGGTATTGTGATCATTGCGCTCTTCCCGGGTAAGGCAGATTGGCCGCCGGCCATTGGATGGCCGCTCACGACGGCTCACGCAGCTCACGCCAGCTGCCGGCCACTCACACTGGCTGCCGGCCACTCACGGTAGCTTAAGGCGGCCCACTGCAGCAGGGGCTGCAGCCTACACCATCGCCTGCCACTCACGGCAGCCCAGCTCCAGGAGGAGCTGTTGTTCACCATCTTAGCTGTAGAGGACACAGCGTCACTGGCCCATGTGGGATCCGAACTGGGGCCCTGCTGCTCAGAGCTCGCTCTCCCAAGCCACCTCTTAACCAACAAGCCACTCAGCAGGACCTGTCAACAAGTATTAAAAATATATTTTATCACAGGATAAAACGTCCTTTTACCAGCAGCCCATCTGTTGTGGGCCAACCGAGTAGCCCCCCTCCAAAAAAACCAACTTAAGTCTCCTTTCCTATAGAAATGTTAACTATAGAAATGTTAAGTCTCCTCCCTAGTTTCTTAGTTCCTTAGCTCCTGACTTTGATTACTCTTCTAATCAGTTTCTGAATCCTAGACTAAAGATTGCTCCTAGCCTGAATCATAGAATTCTCCTATCCCCCTGCTTCTTTTGTTCTGATTGTTTTGTAAATCAGTTTCTGAATCCTAACCAGTAGATTGTTCACAGAAATCTCCTACCCCTGCTTCAGATAACTACTTGAAACCCTGTGACTTCCTAATATCCCCCAGGCCAGTAAGCCTAATGATTCTTTCCAAACCCATCCTGGGCCCAGACAATTGACTCTACCTGAATGACCTGTTACACCTGAATGGCCACAGGCTTCATGAGAGCTAACAGATTTATTAATTAAAATCTATTTTTCCTCATTCAGGGGCCTGGGGGATACAGATGATACCCCAACAAGATTGCCAGTCGCAACCAAAGAAGCCAACGCTGTCTCCCAGGCAGATCTCTAGACCCCTTCCTCTCATCTGAGATCAGATAGGGTGAGAGTTCCATGAATCCCCCAATAGGCAAGGACACCTCTATGCCCTTGCCCATTAAGAAGCAGATACAGAAGAAAAGACCTCCTGTCCCTCAGCTTCCCATAGAGATTTTATAGAGATCAAGGGGAAAACAAGGCAGGCAGTTAGAGGCAGGCATTGGGTCTCTGCATTCCTGCAAGTCCCATAGAATGTGACTGCCCAGGAGACCTCCCCTCTCCACTATAGCAGCTTGTCAATCACAGGTGTCAGTCAGATGGTCCCACCACAAAAAGGGACAGCCCATTCTAGAGAAAAAGAGATAATGACAAGTCCTGGGAAGTCCGCCCTTCCTCCTCCCCTTTTGGAGCCTTTTGACCTAACGATGCCACATTGGGTCTTGAGCCCCTTGAGCCTTTGTCCATCTTTTGAGCTTCTCCCTTTGTGCAGCCTGCTCCAAACTCTTGGAATGTAATTTCTCTACTAATAATGGGCCATCCTCTACTGTTCGGGCCCACTTCTATTTCTTTAAAGTGTACTATCTCTTCTAATAAACTGCATTTTCACTACTTTACCTCGGTATCTCGTTCAATTCTTTGCTCCAGATGCCAAGGACTTGGACATCGCGCTGAGAAGGGCCCACTCTCTGACAACACATCCAGGATACCTCAATACATTTAGTCTTCATATCTCCTTAGGCTTCTCTTGGCTGAGACAGAGGGTGTCTCAAATTTTCTGTTTTTGATGACCTCCATGGTTTCGAGGAGTACTGGTTAGGTATTTTGTAGAATATTTCTCAACTGGGTTTTTTTCTCTTGATTAGACTGGGGTTATGTGTTCTTGGAAGGAAAAACACACTGGTGCACACTATCACTGTTGTTTTATCACTCTCTTGGTGTTAGCCTTGATCACCTGCTGAGATAGTTTGTCAGATTTCTCCACTATAAAGCTACTCTTCCCACTCCTATCCCATTTCTGTACTATTGGGTGTCCTTTGTAAAGAGAGTCACTAACAATGGTACACAGGCCTGGAAGGGATTTGGGGAATACCCTCCCCGAGAGTACAGCGTTTGCGGGGCCCATCGCGGGAAGGATGGGGAAGAAGGTTCTCCTTGCAGACCTCAGGGCGCTGCAGGCACCTGGGGGCTGGAAAGTCCAGCGGTTTCCTTCTCGCAGCTCCAGGAAGCGGCTCCCAGCCTTTGGCCAAAGAAGGCTCTCACCTAGGGGTGGGACCATGCTCAGACCACGCCCCTTGGATCCCCAGGACCCGCCCCTGGAACGAGCGGCTCCGCCCCCGGGTGCTTTCCGACCGCTGGGCTCCAGGAGTTTTCCGCTTATCTGGCTCCTCCTCCTACCCCGCCCTGGCTGCTGCAGCGCCCCTGGGTCGCTAGTGCTCCCAGTGCCCTGAGTGCCCCGAGAACCTGAGAGGAACAGAGCTCCAGATCTACCAAAGGCGCTGCTCCCGGAACGCCGGCGGAGGGAGCCGCTGTTACCCGCATCCCATTTCGCTCCACGCGGCTCCCTGCCCCCGTGGCCGGTGGCCAGGTGAGTGAGGGTCCCCAGCTGGCCGAGGGCATGGGACTGGGCAGCAACAATGCGCCGCGGCCCCCGCGGCTGCGGCCCGGGACTCCCTGGTCACCCCGTCCCGGCCCGGCCCTGCGGCTTCCTGGTTGCACTGTAAGAAGGCGGGGTGCGGGGCGGGGGCGGGAGTCTTGCTAGTCCCGGACCGGCTGCGTCGACTCTATCTACGACAGGGACTGCCTTCCCGGTGGGCCCCCATGGCCAGGATCACGTGATTATGCTGTGCTGCCGGCGTCAGGGACTCAGCTGGCCTGGGCCGGCTTGGGACTAGGTGATCCTGTGACCAGAAGACGACTGGCTGGTGTGGGGCATGGCCGGTGGCTTGGTCCGGTCTGACCCCGCTGAGTTCTCGAGTGTGTGTGCCCTTCCGGGAAAGGCTTGGACTAAGGAGAGCTAGTAGAAAAGGCTGCCTTCGGGAACTTTCTTCCAGAACTGGGAGGACGCGAATTCCTGGTAGCTGCTACTCCTGGATGTATTTGTAAGGCACTTCATTTGAGGAATGCGGGGTGCATCCCCGGGTCCGGTGTTCACCTATGTGTTTACCTTCTCTATGTTTCCCCCCATATTCAGCTTTGACAGTTTCGGGGAGGGATTCTTGGACTTTTATGTCCCCTGGGGGCTTAACTCAGCCCCTTGAAGGCTTAACCAGGTAGAAACGTCTGTTGTCTTAAAGGAGTGTTGTGAAGTTCTCACGTAGAGACTTTGGAAGGCAGCACTTAAGCTAGCCGGTGCTAGCCTAAGTGGGGAACAGTCTGCCTGGGACATTTCTGCCCCATCCCTCTGATCAGTGACTTTTCTGTGAAGATGGGTGTTTTAGGACAGACCCTGGGGATTGAGGTAGCCAGCCACTCTGCTCTCTCTCCCCACCCTTCACTCTGTTCCCTGCTGCCCTGACGTGGGCACGTAGTGGTGCTGTGAGGGTCGAGCCTCTTCCCTGCCCACACAATAGGAACAAAAGCTTGCAGGGCAGGGCCCTGCTAAGCCCAGGAGCTGGACACGCAGGGCATGTTACCTTGCTCACCACTAACTGGCTCTCATTAAGTTGTTAAATTTTTTCCTTGCTTCAATTGTTGGGAATTCCAGGAGGATTAACAGGTACCCTTCCCTCAAGGTGCTTTCAGTGGTGTAAGGTGTTCCCTAAGAGAGGCCAGGTGAGGTGCTCACCTCAGGCTCTTGCAGCCTTCCCTAATCTTGTCTCTTACTAGTCTGGGTGCCTTGGCTTCCTCATCTTTAAAATGGGGCTAATAACAATACCTACCTCACAGGGTAATTAAATGAGTTAATGTATTTAACTGTATAGCTCAGGCACTGACCTGAACAGGTGGTGACTTTTTTTTTGTTTTTAAGATTTTTT